GACACACAACACACTTGATGATGAGCCAGCTGGATCGATAAAGCAACAGGGAAAATGCGTGCAAAAATTGGCATCGCCACTATCTTCTGTTTAAACGGCTACGGGCATTACACAGCACCTTCCTCAATATGATTCATGGGACCAGCGTATGTCTCTCCCCCCCCCCAGTTTAATAGTACTCACGTAGTTAATGTGTGTAAACAAAATCTACACAGACAAGTGTGATGGCTGCAATTTTTACACGGTAGAGTAGTTTCTGTTTACTTATTTGAGTAGAAGGGAGTGCAAGGGTGATATTTTGTAAAAAAAAAATACATCCTGACCTCTACTAGCCACATCATTCCATGCAAGGAGGTCAGGAGGATGGGAACCCACTTCTGTCACAGGATCTCTTGTAACCTGAAATGATTTACATGGAGCACTGTGTCAGACCTCCTTCCTGTCCCCCGCCCCCCTTCCATCGCTTGTGGAGATGCAGAAAGCTTCTATGAAAAGCTCTGATGAGCGAGGAGGCCAGATAATATTATCAATGGGAAGCTTTAAAAAAAACCCAATCTTCAGTAAGCATTATTATTCACACTCTTAAATACCATTTAATATAGGAAGAAACTGTATTTTTCCTTTTAAAAATATAGTTTGACAGTATTAACTATATGTGAATAACACAGGTTCTATAGCACTAATCTAGAAAATATCTGAAGAAAAGATGGGGAGGTAGAAAACCAGCCATTCAGCACAAGCTTTCCATGTCCCCCAAATAATCTGTAGCCCTCATAAGGCTGTTTCAGATATACTGTACCTAATGAACTGAACAGCTTAATCTGCCTGTTACTGACAAGAATTGACCTCAAAAATTTGACTTCAAAATTGTGACAGACTGATAAACAAGAAAAGCGTTCAACGCAAGAGTCTTTTTAAAAAAAATCATGAACCTTAATCCTGCAGTCATAGTGCTGAACATATAAAATAATATACCCCAAATATAATGCTATTATTGTATTCCAGCGCACCAACACATCAAAATGGTGAAGCTAGAACCACCAGATTCAAGGACCAAATGACAGTAGACCTTGCATGACCAAAACATTCCACTTCAACTATATAAAGCTACCATAAGTCACTTTCTCTTTACAATTACACAAGTAGCTCAAGACACCTATTCTCATTAATAGTGCTCGATGCAGCCTTATAGAGGTTAACAGATAAAATGCCTACCAAAAGTAACTTTTAAAACAGTTATAACAAGGTAAAAAGATGGAGTGGCAATCTATAATCCAGTGAATTAAATAATTTAACAGAATGCTTGTCCCAAACTATGTGCAAGGACTTAACAATACTTAAATCATACAACATATTCAAAAAGTAAATACTACATTAGAAATGTTATTGAAGACAATCTACCTATCAAAACATCCTTATATTTAGAACAGCCAGACAAAGCTTTCAGGATCCAGTACATTAACTACAGCACATTTGTGAAAGCCTTATGAAGACATTCATAGAAGTGATTTCTAAAAATATTTCTGAACATCATTATTTTTGTATGCTTTTTCATGCACTCACATTCTCTATTCATCTCAAGTGACCATTGATTCATTAAGAGGGTCTCCTTGTGTTCCAATGCTTTTTCAAGATTACACTTGATGCAAGCCCACAAATAGTTATGAATCAATGTTCCCTCTAAGCTGTGGAGTCTTGCGAGCAAAAATGCTACTTTGTGAGCTACTGGCATTAAAGCTGTGAGCGAGAGATTTGGCTGCTGCATAAATTAGTTTGCTCTGGAGCCATCCTTCCTGAGCTAAGGCAAAAATGTGTAAGCCGGAGGCTAAAAAACTGAGCTAGCTCACACTAACTCAGCTTAGAGGGAACACTGGTTATGATGCAGACCATCCTATGCATGTTTATTTGGAAGTAAAACAAATAGGGTTTAAAGATGTTTACTTCCAAGTATATGACTGAACACTGGCATAATGACACTGCAGCACAAGCAAGATATTTGTGATCCTAGGCATATTTGCAATGGTGCAGTAAATCTGAGAACAGGAATTTTCAGCATGATATGGGGAGAAGATGATTCACTGATAGATTCGTAAGGTTCGGTGAAAACACACAAATATATGGGAGATACACAAGCACCAGCATCAAATCAATCCCATGTCCAAAACTTAAAAAGGTAAAGAGTTAATGGAATTTAAACATAATCACTGATTTAGCCACCCATGATGACAATGGTAAGGAAGACCACTAAGATCCTAATTATATGAGGAGCCTACAGCAAGTCACTGAATGCTATTTATGAGCAATGCTCTCTCTAAACTGTGGAGTCTTGTGAGCAAAAATCCTACTTTGTGAGCTACTGGCATTAAAGTTGTGAGCAAGTGATTTGGCTGCTGCATAGATTAGTTTGCTCTGGAGCCATCCTTCCTGAACTAAGACAAAATTGTGTGAGCCGGAGGCTAAAAAACTGTGAGCTAGGTCACACTAACTCAGCTTAGAGGGAACACTGTTTATTACTTTTTTTCAACATCTAGATAATGTTAAGACCACAATTCTATGCATATTCACTTGGAAGAAAGTCTCACGGAATTCACTGGTACTTACTTCCACATAAACATGAACAGGATCAGACTACCCAACTAACTAAAATAACTTCCTTTTCTGGCTTCTTGCTGACTGGAAAACCTGATCTTGCAAACCGTATTATATTAGAATTACATGAGTAATGTAGAACAAAATGTGACTATTTACAGATATGCATATATACTGCTTGTTAGAGATGCATCCCAATCCTATGCATGCTTACTCAAAAAGAAGTCAAAATTCTGTAAATGTGCATAGAATTGCATCTGGACACAAACTGAAATGTTGGCAACTTGTGACTTTACTAGCACCATTTTTATTCTAAGCCCTGAACCTGCAGTCACTTTCTGTGAAAATCCCATAGGTTTAAATGGCACTTCTCTGCAAATATTTATTATTTATTTGTTTACATTATTTGTAGTCCACCTTTCTCACTGGGACTCAAGGCGGATTACATAGAATAAATCAGTGCAATCAATAAGATGGAATATCCAAAACAATGCAATGGGACTTGGCTTGTGGAGGTCTGGAAACCAACCAGAGGTGAAGCACAGCATAAGTATTAACATGATACATTAAAAGATAGCAAAAATTACAAATTAGGAACCTCCTTACAGCAACAGATAGTACAAACTAGTATATGCAATCCCCAGCCCTTTACCCCAAGCTTCTTTCTGCAACTCAGTCCAGATACTCATAACAAATATTGTATTACCGCTGAGCTTTCTAACCTCCCTTTGTGACAATTTTTACTCCTCCTTCTCTCACCCAATGTGCAGGGCTCTTGGCTTATAAAAACTTACATCACAACAAGGTGCTGTCTCAAGGCCTTTTGTTGTTTGGGTTACCTAGCCCTCTCTGTTTGCAACAACACAAGTGTGACTGAACAGTGCCCAGTATCATTTCGTCTTGTATACGTGCCCCACAAAATTCGTCAAAAGTATGTGGCGCAGGCTTCATTTCAGCCCGAATTTTCCAGTTCGTAACCTCAGAGCCTGTTTTCAGGTGTGTGTAAAAACATAATAGGCATAGTCTGCCAAAATACTTTTAATTGATGTATTTCAAAGGAAGATATTCAAATGTTTTCAACCCTTTTGATCCTAGGCAAGTTTTCTCTGAAATAAGGCCACTCAGTGGGCTTACTTCCATGTAAACACATACAGGATGGGTTAGATCTACCATACTGAAATGAGGTTAAAATGCTTTAGCTGGATTGCGCCTCTTTCTCAGTACTGAGTAACTACAACCAGGGTACATCATCATGATTAGGATTAAGAGCTGCCAGAGCAGATGTTACTTCCGGGTAAGCTTTAGCTCCAAAATATCATATTCTGTTTACTATACCAAGATGATCACCTACCCACTGAAACTTAAAACTTTATTAAAAAGTAGCAAAAATATATTTTCTGAAGTTAAAGAACAACCCCTCAAAGTAGCATTCACTAAGTAAGCCATGGAAACCAATACAATCCTGGTCTTATTAGTGGGCAGAATATCCATGATACACACAGTGGGTTGCTTTTAGTTTGTTTTTGGCCCTCACAAATGCTTCTGGAACTCTACAGGATAGAGGAATGGATAGAGAAAGAGGCAGAGATGGTTAAAGCACCTTATCACACAATACTTCTCTGGTCTAACAGTGCCATCCTAAAAACACTGTCCCATCAAATACACCTGAGTGGAATTCTGAGTAGCCCAATTGCTTTCTAAACATTCCACAACCCATGATCGGTTACTGAGGTTTATAACATGCATTCATCTGTGTCCAGTGGCACCTTTAAGACCAACATAGGTTTATTCAAGGTATGAGCTCCTACCTTGAACAAACCTTTGATAGTCTTAAAGGTGCCACTGGACTCTAAATTTGTTCTACTGCTTCAGACCAACATGGCTGACCA